CTTAAGGATATGAAAAATAGATAGTAGCCGATTCTCAGACCCACGGAATATGCATATAAAATTTGATAAAAATCGGTCAGGCCGTTTCGGAGGAGTATGGTAGCTAACATTGTGACACGAGAATTATCTGTTATTGTTTCAGTACTTTTAATCAGTGGTACCTGTACTAATGTTGGCGTACTTGTATTTTACACTTAATTAAAGAGTGTCGAAATTAGAGTGCATTTTTCATTTTAAAATAAAAACACAATTTATTTTGAACAGGTTCTAATATTTTTAATTGGATTCTGAAGAAGACATTTTCCGATTAAGTATGAAATAATGATCCGTCTAATGGCCCCCACGACTGTGATGAGAGGCCATAATTGTTTAAATGAATTTTTTCTTGCCTTTTTCATAGACATGTGGCTGTATCTCACTGACGCGACGTGAGATATCTGTGATGTCATCACAGTCGTGGGGGCCATTTGACGGATATTTTATTGACATGTTAAATCGGAACATGTCTCATTTACAATCCAATAACTGTTTTTATATTAATATTTAAAATGTTAATTGCTGAACATTGTGTGTGTTTTCTTTGTCTTAAGTATGCTGGGGTAATTTATTATATGACTTATGTTTGTTAGAAATTAAGAAAATTTTTGCAATGTCCTTGCAGGGCTTATCTTGTGAATCCCTTTTTTTATAGATAGGTCCGACATATGATGGAGTCATTTGTCGGACCTATCTATAAAAAACCTGATGTTAAGTGAAGGTGAAGTCCAGACGCAAAGATAGCTGATACAGCAGTTCTACCTGCCACACCAGCCATCCTCACCCTGCCGGCCTGCATGTTGCTTCTTCACGCGTCTTTTAAAGGATCCCAGGTTGCAAGAGGGTGGAACACGTGAGCGGGCAGAGCATTCCATTTACGGTTAGACAGATAGAAACATTCCATATTATTTTAAATTTAAGAACCCATGTATGTACCAACATGAAGCAAATAAGTTATTCTTGACCTTTGAAAGGAAGGATATTTGAGACAGGTACTTAGAACACCGCGTATCATTCAAACATAAACAGCTTTCCGATATCCGATGGTCGTTAGAGAGGCAAAGGAAATGGGTAATATCACCGTCTTTGTATGTAACAAAATGGCATGACCAGACATATTCTTGGCTGTCTTTTTTAAGTGTGTATGTTGTTGGTCGCAGATAGAGGATTCGATCTCGGTCGATTTTTCCAATCCCGGGATTTCGGGTTTATCTACAGTTAATCCCGGGATAGTCCCGGGTTAGTCCAGGATTGTATTGATAATAGATAGTGGTAACAAAAAGACAGTAAAACATATCAAAATCAACTTTTTATTTAAAATCTTTAGTTATTTTAATTTATTTTAATTAAAAATGTAATTTAAATCTTTAAAAAACAAAACAATGTTATAATTTCTTCTAATAAAATAAACAAACTAGGCACTTCATTCATCAAACATGTAACTATTGTATAAATTATTTACAGAATTGTCTAGTTTGTTTATTTTATTTAAAAAAAAACGATTGATGATTTGATTCTGACGACGTAGCCTGTAAAGGCTACGAAACGTCAATAAATAAATAAAGTTTCGTGCATTAACCCGTAAAAACTAGTTTTATTTAAAAAACAGCTTCTTAAGACTTGTTTAGATATACTATATGATGACCTAGTGACAGCGACACCGGGTTTGGGGACGGCGAGATCGTAAAGGGATCTCAAGCCGAGAATTGGCGAGTGCCTCTAGCTAGAGGTATTCCAGGCGGATGGCATCTCCCCACGGGGGGAGTCTCCTCTCCGTCTGGAGCCTCTAGACCACTCGGACTTGAGGGGGTCGGCTCAACTAGAGGGCGTCTCTGAGACTCGAACCTCGGCTCTAATTAGCCGTTAATAGTAAGCGATTTATTTAAATAACGTAATAATAATACACTAGATTTTTTATAACATACTTAAATCTTAAATATATATATATATACAAATTCGCTATCCCGCAATCCTGCATAATACACTTTCCCGCTTAAGACGCGTTTTTGGTTGAGTCCCTGTGAAATCGTCTTAAACGGGTTTTACTGTATATTACAAAGTTTATCAAAATCGCTCTAGCCGTTTAGACGTGAAGAAGTAACAAACATACACACTCACAAACTTTCGCTTTTATAATTTTAGTGTGATTGACAGTTAACTTATCATTGATTCAACTAATAAATATCAAAATTACTCATGGCGAAAAGTGCCTTGTAAAGGCGTCAAATTACACAGCAAAGACGCACATACGATTCCAAATTTAAAATATTAGTTTAAACAAGCTGTAATGAATGAGCATTCTTGTTTCGTTCACTCAACAGTTTAGGGTGTTTATGGTCGAAACTCCATATTTAGATATGTGGCGGGTGGCGCGCACGTGTTGACAATCGCTCGACAGATGTTCGCATGATGTTCCTGCTTACCTCACATGGACTGCGATTTTCGTTTAATGTACAGGGTTCTCTCTAACAAATTATGTGATAATTACTTTTATACCAATTTGTTTAATCTTCGTGAATGGATGAAATTTACACTTTAAAGTAGCATGGTCATTAGACTGCGTGATGATTACGGAACCAGTATATTTCTAGTGACATGAAAAATGTTACGCATTCTTTGTTATTAATCGTCTGGTAATTTTAACAACCACTTACTCAAAGCCAATAGTATGTCTATCCTACTTATAAATTACAATTTTATAGAATAGAAAACTATTCAGAATCATTGCCAGGTAGAACTTTAAGTTGCAATAAAATTTGCTGGAAAGTTGCATACATGTACGTGTCGCCGAGAGAGAATGGTCTAATTACCTATATTCACGATCACTAACACATCGCCCATTGCAGTACACACAACATAAATGTGTTTCTAACATACATACCTAGTCAGGTCATAAATTCTGTCACATGTTTAATATAAAATAAATGAAACAAGTTTATTCATTACGTAACCATTTATATACCAAAATGAACTTAACAAAACATAGATTCTTATGACAATAAAGTTTATTCAAAATGACCTCCGTGATTTTAAATACAGGATTTCTTTGAATTCGCGCCTTCTCAGCTTTTATCACTGCTGGAGTCCTAACAGACCGAGGGCGACCACTTCTTGACCTGTCATTTACACTAGAGTCTTCATTGTATCGTTTGATGGTACGATAAACGAATCTTTTGGTTATATTCAAAATTTTCAGAATGTCAAAAATTTGAATTGGCGCGTAACCGCAACGATGCAACGCAATAACTGCAACACGGACTCCTTTAAGCGCCCACTCCATATTTAAAAATGAGTAAAATTCTAAAAAGTATACATTTTTATTTTCACGAACAATTCGAAATTCGAATTCAATAAACTTTTTGTGGCCAGCATTCTAAAAGAAAAGTTTTTACTGTGTGACAATACTTATGACCTGACTGTGTATAAGTACATGACATTATTGAATTTTAGAAGAGCCATCAAGGCACAGTGATAAGCTGGTTTGGTGTGCGTTTTTGAAGTGCTAAATCTTTGCACGCGACAAGGGTAACTTTTCAAGGCCGCGTCACGATTTGAGCGATAGATTTTATTAGTGCGACGATTTTAAATTTTAAAAGACGGTTTTTTTTGGTTCTATTGTTTTTTAAATTATGTAATAATTATGTTAATATATATTTTTATAATTATTATTATGAAAGTTCGTTTCACTTCTGACATGCTTACTCTGTACATACGCTGTTTTTTTTATTATGCTGATAGGGGCGGCAAAGAAGCATATGCCCCGCCTGGTGGTAAGCAGCCACCATAGACTCTGACTCTACCTTTTGGTGTCGTTGTGTTTCTGTCGGTGAGCAAGGTTCCAGGGTTGCACGGGACCTCCCAGGAACGGCGGCCCCCCCACTCGTAGTTCTGTCCTACAAAGGGGGGCGGCGGAGGGTTCTTGGACGGGTACGCCCAGGAGTTTCCTCCGCAGCGGATGAGGGGCGGAACGGTGGGCAGTAGGCCGCGTACCCAGCCCCCTCGCGCGGGCCTTCCTGCGCACGTCTGCGGGGTCCCCGTAATACCGCGGGAGACCCCTGCCGTGGAGCCCCGGCGAGGCCGGGAAGCTGCTGGGGGCGGAGCCGTGGTAGAATCCCTAACGGGGACCCTGCAGCTTCGCACTAAGCAGTGTAGAAGGTATTCGCAGGACTTTTTTAGCGGATATTATGCTGTAAAGCGCCCGTAAGAGTTTCGGGGTTCTCGGTGGGTAGCCACTGGGGGGTCCGTAAGACTTGCGGGAGCAAGGTGTGAGGTCCGTTCGGCGGTGTGCCTCTTAAAGGCGTCGTCGTCTGTAAAAAGATTTTTTAGCTGCGTTACAAAAAACAAAAAAAAAGGGTTGCACGGGACCTGCCTCGTCCCAATTCCCTAGGATTGGGTCATGGTCGGGGGCGTCCCAGTGAAGTGACGCACACAGAGGTGCGATCCTGAGACGTTCCCATAAGGGCGTAGGAAGGTACCGGTGGTTTTTAGTGAGTAGGACCGGCACTGTTCCGCGTCGGGGAGTCCCACACACGTCGCGCGCCTAGCCAGCGCGAGATAAGGTCCCTAAATGAATTTTCCATCGTAAAAAAAAAGGATTGGGTCATGGTAGGCAACAGGGTTAGTAATTAATCTGGTATCGCAAGACAAGCTGTCAATTAAAATGTAATTATGAAACCTTGTTGTATAAGAAATACCATTTTTTTATTAAAAAAAAGTCGTTAAAATTTAATACAAAAAGAAATTGCGTATTGTTTTCTTTTTAAAAATACTTGATAAAAAACACCTCCTTTCCGTTTGGTCTACAGATGGATCAAGGAAGACCTTTTTTCAGATCTTGGACTATTTAGCTCAGAAGTTTGCTGCTAACATACATAATGCAAAGAAATAGCAAATTAAGGTTTTTAATTGTTTCCGTACATCCCTAAAACATTACTCATAATTCACTTATCTTAGTGGCAACGGAAGCGCGGCAAACAGCATAACATACAGCCAACCAGTGCCCGAATGACAACCGGCACGCGAGCACGTTTCGTTGCTGCGACTTACTTGAAAAAAAAAAAAAAAGTAAATATCCCAAACGCGTCTCCGGTATTCGCGGTAAAGGTTTTTACACTTAAAAAGGAAGCAGTGATTGTGTTTAAAAAAAAAGTTTGAATAATCTGTGTGTGTTGTGTTTTAGCCGTATTTTTTCGTGATTTTATAAAGTTTTTTTTTCTCATTGTAAAAGTGTTGTGTGTATTGTGCGATCGGTCTGTGGGGCACCGACGTGTGACGGGCCGCATCACATATCTACTTGCTCGTCCGGCTTTCGCGCTAACGATTCAATGAAACATTGAGAGAGGCAGTTTTAGCACTTTTTGGCCTTAAAACGTACTTACCAAGTCATCAACAAAATTTAGACCGAAGCTACAACTCTATGAAGTTCCGAAAATGCTTTTTTTAAACTTCGGCTATCTTAAAACTCCATAGATACGTCCAATTCTTTTTTAATATTCTTTATGGCACATAAAATTCAGGTTTTGCAAAGAATTGCGTTTTTATCAGATGCAATAGGTAGAAAAAGTAGATAGCATGAAAACTTGTAGGACATGCAATATTATCGTTATCTTCAAATGACGTCATTTTTTATCTGAATATCATAAATGGAAGATACTTAATAGGATGTACAAAAGACATGAACTCTACTAGATTTTGCTTAAAATGTGCCTAATAACGAAATGTTTTTACTCAGAGAATATTTAGAAACAAAAATTAACTATGAATAAATAAAATTTTACAATTAAATTAAGTTTGATATTCACATGCCCTGTCGTTGGCAAAATGGACGAACTAAATGAAAATCACCACCAAAACATATCTCCTACTCTGTTTTGTGTGAATAAATAAATTTCATTTCATAAAAATAAATATTCGAAAGAATTCAGTACAACTTAGGAGAATTCCATTAAACATAATAATTGTAAAAATTTTCCTGCACAAACTTCCATAAAACACACTTCATAATAATTACCTAATTGGTTTTCGATTGAAGGTGAATCAAGTGTAATAATTTAATTAATCATCTAAAACTTATCGATATCAAATGATAAAGAAATTCTTAAGTAGGTATTGATAAGTCCATAAGTCGATTTAATTATGGAAATGTTGCTGTGTTACTAAGAAAAATAATAAGTAGGGATCATTAATCAAGCCTCAGAGGTGCGTTAAGTCACCAGGATAATGGTGATAAATTGAAATTAAATATAAATAATTGTATTAAAATTAATGTTATTATCAAAATTTCATAGGATTTAATTGCTAGTTAAGTGTATATTGCATGTCGTTATCCCCTTTAATTAAAGTTCCACTGATAAAGTGTGTTACTATAAATGTGTAAGTGTAACTTTGTCGACGATCTATTTGATGAATAAAATAAAGATATATATATAAATAATTTTTTTAAATTATAATATATATATATATATTATAATTTAAAAAAGTCCCGCACAAAAAAATATACAACAATAATAGTCCTTCAAGCCGGATAAAAGACAGAATGACAGTTATTCGATAATACTTACAGATTTCACAAGCGTACTACACTCTAGCGAACTTTATCGCGAAATAGAAAAGAAAATATAAATTACCTAATTTGAACAGCCGTTCAATACGGAAAATTATTAGTTAACTGAATCTGAACCTCGATATCCTACGAGTCTGCACAGTCAATCAATACGGAAAATTATTAGTTAACTGAATCTGAACCTCGATATCCTACGAGTCTGCACAGTCAATGAAATTGAGAATATTTTATAGTTATTTTGTGTAAAACTCGTCGATCTATAAATTAATTTGCGGGACCGCGTCTCGTTTGCATTGTCTATGCTAATGCTAAAATTCAAATTTCGAACCGGTGGTCGGCCGGCGCAGGCACCGCGTCTTATCGCGTAACGGCTTTGGAACGCGTGATTTCATATTTAAATTTAAACCCATACAAGGCTCACGCGGTGACCTTGAGCTCTACGCGAAGCTACACGCTAAACACTCAGCGATTATTATTTTATGGCCGTTGATAACTTCGCATTTACAGCTTCAATAAGAATGCGGTCTAGAAGCGTGCACGAGAGGAACCGAACTTAGTTTCTACAAATTACTTATATTTTGGAGTAAACTTGTTTTTAATAGCTGTTAAAATATCTGTGAAATGTCATCATTGCGTCATCTTGTTTGCATTCGTGACACATGTAGTGCATCGTTAATTTTAGTTCTTACTGAATGAAATATGAAATTGAGATGATAAAAAGCACTACGTGATAAATTTGTTTTCGATAAACACAAACAACATGATGTTATTAAAATGCAAACATCATACCTACATATTTACGTCTTGACTCTGATGGCAACTTTTTGGCAAAAAAGGTAGTAAACAAGCATTAATTTATGACCCCCGTGATTAGGGTTGCCAGATCGCTAAACTTAATAGCCGGACAGACCAGCCAGTTTGGCCGGACATTTGGGTAAAAAGGCACACGGACACCCTATATTATTAAGGATTTTTTGGCTCAACAATATTTTAATGAAAATTGTATCTATGTAAAAGCGGTCGACATGCGACAGTCAACTCAACTCGTTTGCGCTCGGTCACGCTCGGCGCGAAATTTAAAAAGCCTAACTACCTATGTCCGGCTTTATCCGGACGCCTGGCAAATCTACCCTTAATGGTAAGCGGTCACTATAGCCTGCCTGCGATACCAGACTTGTGCTGTGCCGTTGGCTGTCTTACTAAACGTAGCTAATTTTTAAAGTTAAACTCGAACATTAAGTTAAGAGAAGGACAGAAGCACTTTAATCTAAATCCTTCTCTTCTCTATGGATAGATTAACGTGTCTTCCGAAGCACGGAGGAGAAACGGTCAACTACTTTATGGCAATGACCAATTGCGATTTGGAATGTTCCTTGATGAGCAGTGGTAAGCGCTCCTCGAAACATATTCTTAGGTATTTGTTGAAATAATAATATGTGTTTTGCTTTTCTCGCGGTGTCAGGCTACCGACCTCGCTAACTTTTTATGTAATGAACGGTGCAGTTCTTTGAGAGAGATTTTTTCCAGTTAACTTATAAAATGCCAGCCAGTCAATGACTGTTCGTTTAAAAACTAGGGACGTTATATTTTTTTTATGAAATGAATAAATATGACGCAAATGAAATAAAACTAAGAAGTTTGTTTCCGTTTTTGATTAGTTTTTATATAAAAACCCGTTTAGTTCTGTATATTTTTCTGAAGTGTATGTTTTTGTGATATTTTCTGTTATATTTCTTATTATGATGACTGTCTAAATACTATCGCCATTTACTTATTCTTTGCGGGTAAAAAAACAAAATTATTTTCGATTTATTGAAAATCTAAAAGTCCAGAAATGGTATGCTCACCGTTACCTCTACGCAAACCTATTATTCTAAAATAATAAAAATTCCATAAGAACGTACCGCGTTTAAAGGTTATTTCGTAAAAAGGTTACGTGATGTTAGCATGAAGGTTTACATTCTCTCGTTATTGTACAATTTAACAATATTTCACGCGTTCTCAGATGCATACTTCATATTGTTGTTGAGAAACATTTTGCTGTCGAAAATCTGAAATCACAGAATATGTGAAATACAAGTGGAATTAATCGTTTTCATTGTTTTAAAGTGTGATTGAGGTTTAAAAAACGGCATGAAATTAAAATAAAAACAAAATGCAATATCGTTTATTCAGTCTAGGCTGTTACAAGCACTTCTGAATGACGAAAAGCTACGCCATGATGGGGATACATACTTATGGCACTTTTTTGCTATTGAATAATGCAAGTTTTGATGTTTGATGTATAAGTATAATGGTCCGAAACCATTTTTTTTGAAACTACTCGAGTCAGCTCGTGATTGGCCGGTTTTTCGAAGAACAGTTAATTATATACTTTGCTTCTAATAGCAAAGTGTATAATTAAATATTATATTCGATACAAATCTACACTTAATACACATTTAATGATTTGCCCGACATTGCTGTCAGCATTATTCGTCTGCTGAACTAATTGCTGATATCGTGTGAACACTCGCCGCGTCAAATTCATGATGAACGTTGGTAGTTAGTCGCAATTAAATGATTAATCGAAACTCGATCTATAGTTTTAACCCACTTTCAAAGGAGAACTTTAAAGGTTCTTCGTTTGCAACTCTTTTTAACAAAAAAAATAATTTTGAAGCACCATGATGGGACCCCAATGGCTATGGGTTCGCCGAATGATGTGCCCCGCCCATTGCACCTTCAGCTTGGGGATCCGTTGAGTTAAATCCATTTGAATCCCAAGGAAGGACGTGGGATAGTTTTATCCTATAAATCACCTTTTACGGGCCTGAAAAAGTGGTGCAATTTTGTATGAAAAACATTTTTTTCCACGGAGAGTAATTCGCGAGCACTTTTTATCCTGGAAAAGGTTGGGTTCTGTAGGATAATCAAAAAAAATAAGTCAACACATACTAAGTCGCGGGCGGCGACTAACTTAGTAACATAAATTAATTTTGATTGTTTCCGCTCGCGATTCGCCTAAATCGGGAATTTTTCCCGCTATTATTATATTTCTTTCGTGTCTATGGTACAAGCGTGAATAAAGAAGGTTACGGAACTTGTTCTTTTTTAGTATTGTTAAATGTTTCCCTTGAACTATTGTCGTTCACTGCCCAGAAGTATTATGTAAGCAGCACCCGAAATATGGTACCAAACTGTGCACTGTGTGAAACATTAGCACGTTTGGTTTGCATCTTGGGAGTAAAGCAACTTTCGCAATTGCCAGCCCAAGGATGGGTGACCATTTTAAGTCGAGCTTCTCCGTGTTCAGAAACACAAGGCACGTTAACCTTGGATCGTGGCTGCATCTGCAGTACTTTGCCACCAATCCGAACTGTAGGGCGATTCTGTAAACTAAAATCTCACTTCCGATTTCGGTAGCTGCCATATTAAACATTAGTTTGGTTTGCATTACGCCATTACACGGCAAAATGTCGCTGTCTACACTGTAGAAGCAGCCATTGGTGCGAATTCTGGCGTGATTCTCTAAACTTAAAACTAAATTTGACATCAGTCTCTCCTTTTCATTATGTATAGAGAATGACAAGGATATACTGCTGTCAAATTTAAGTTTAGGTTTAGAGAATCATGCTAGAATCGACACCAGTATCAGAAATT